GTATTAGTGTGATGTATAAGTATTGCCTTCTTCAGTCTTTAAATAGGTATAAAAAAATAAAGCACAAGTTCAAAGCCATGACGTATTTTGGTAGTTATGCAGTCAGTTTTATCAGTAGATGCAGCATTGCAGTTTCATGGCTCCTGTTTTGTGAGAGGAGATTCTTGTACTGCATTGGAGGAAGAATAAATTCCTGATTAAAATCTCAGTCTCACAGAGCTGCCTGTTGTTTGTGAAGGAACTGAAAGCTTTAGGAGCCAATGAAGTGTTCTTAACAGCTTTTGAGCAATGTGAGTGCAGTAAAGATGGAGGCCTTTTTCTTGCTGTCATTCTCAATTCTGCATAGGTATCACAGGCTCTGATAAGCTTAATTGACATAGGCTATCCCTTTTCTTAATAATAAACAACCAGGTCCTTTCCAGATTAAACTTCAATCTTAATACTACTGAATACCCATTGTGCAGCTTTTGGCTTTTCTTCTCACTCTCTCCCTAGAGGTATAACAGCATGAAAAAATCCCCATGCTTTGTTTTAGTAATGCAGTGTTTTGGTGGATTTATTTTAACTTAAGTGATGTTTAAGATAGTTGAGCCAGGTGAAAGAAATACATTTTACTCACAGTATTTTTGATAGTCCTTGTTCCTGCAGGAGTTTCTTTCCCAATCTTCCTTAAGCCCTGAACAAATCTTTCTCTTGTGCAACAGAATTTCTGGGCTTGCACATCAGTACAGTCAAGCTAGTAGGTGGTCTGGCCCCGGGCCTCTTAGCATCTAGAGAAGCCTTTAAATATGTAAAAGAGAGAATGAAATGCTCTGTTCACAGTTTTCCATGAGTGCAAGAAGGAAAAAAAGAATTGTTGCAGCATAAGAGACTTAAGCATCAGTCAGGTTCTTAGTTATGGGATGGGGGTTGCCTGAAAAGACTACAGGATCTCTTTCAATTTTAGATTTTTGAGGACAGGTTAAAAAAATATCTATTAGAATTAATATTAGTACAAATTAACTGTATATATGAACAGATGGACTGCATAAGTTTTAGAGATCCTTCACAACCCTGTATTCTGTAATTAAGGATTGAAGACTGAAAGCCTGAATGCTGAGGCATGTACTGGAGGAAACAGAAGGATAGGTCTGATAAGCTTGGAGGGATCCCAGTTGCCAAGGGGATGTGCAACAAGACAGCATCAAACAAACAGTCTGCCCAAGCCCACTGATGCAGGGGTCTGGAGAGCAGCCTAGCGGGTCCCTTCTAGCCTGTCAGTGGTGTGAGCTCTTTGATTTTGGATTCTTTCATGAAGCCTGTTATTACTTGCACATAGACACACAGAGAGGCCTGCATGGATGGTATGATAGAACAGGGATGTGGTCTGTTCTAATCTGTTTCAATTAAGAAAAGGTTATTTGAAAGTTGTCAGCATTATGGCAAAGTGCATAAAAATAAAGGCTTATTACTGTTGTGAAAAGATAGGAATGTAAACTATTTCCAAATACTAATTTATAATGTAATATATAGATTTAAAAGCAGTGAAAAACCCACATCAGTAGTAAGTTCAACATGAACTGTGAAACTTTTAAATCCTCCTTACTTTCTTAAAATTTTTTTACTGGTCTTTACTTGACCCTTCAGACCTCTGACTGAAAATGTAGAATTAGGAGAATCACAAACTTGGAATTTTTTGCTTTATTTTATTTACTATTTTGGGGTATCCCTAGTTCAAAGAAAAACTACTGTAGTCACAGGGCGGGGTTTGAATGTTGATTTGAAAGGTTCCCTGTACTATTGGTCACCATACTGTTAAGCTGGTACTTAAGAAAAAGTGAGCTAATGAATCCATTATAGTCGTCAGAGACAACTGCATAATATAAAAGATCTGTGAAATAAGAGCAGTAAAATGGGTTTCTGTGGTTCTGTCTTTATTTTAGTGCTGGTAGAATAGGAGTAATCTTACTAATGGTACTAAGTTTGTGCTGCTTACAGTGAGCAGTACTTACAAACTGCAGAACTTCTTGATAAGCTGTATACATGAAAGAACAGGGATTTAAACTACATACAATTTTCAGCTACAACACAGAAATCAAGAAACATTGAATATTCCTCAAAATTATGTGTAATGGAAATTAATACTATATTAGGAGGATCCATTCAGAATTATTTTGACCTCCCCTTTCTATATTGCTTTAACATGAGCACATAGAAATTGCTACCATAAGATTTCCTGGTATTTAACATTAAGCTTCTGTTGCAGCTGCCTTTTTTCCCCCACAGCCCCTCCTCCTTGTGATACCATATTATTGTTGGTACACTGTAAATTTTATATGGATTTCAAGCTTTAAGGCTTATATGACCTTCAAACTTTATGCAGGTTGAGAGGTTTCTAGAGGCGTATTATGACTTAAAACACTGTGGCCACCTTTTAGTCTCGAAGCATCAAATGCTGATGTGGTCCCTGCTGGTCCAGTGATCCCACTAGTCTCTGTAGTTGTTGTGCAGCTTTCATGACAGTGTAGCAAAAGGATGGGAGTTATTCCCTGGAGCAATAGCATGAAGTCTCACGCGGTGTGGCAGCTGGGATGCTTGTGCTACAGATGTATCCAGAGTAACTCAAAACTAGTCCCAGTGTGTAGAATGGCGGCAGTTAACCTGATTTGGGAGGAAAAAAAGCCCTATTGTTGCGAGCCCTGCTGGGTCACATCTGCTGCTCGTAGGAACTAGAAAATGAGCACAGGCTCTTTTTAGTTTGCTGTTTATGGGAATTGCTTTGCTGTCTTGCTGCCGTAGTGACAAGTTCAGTACGTGGAGGAACCTGCTTCAAAGAGTTTCTGTGAATACACTTGTGGTACTGCAAAAAACTGCATAGTTTATATAGGGATAGTGGTCGTCTTAACAGCAGTCTGAAGTGTCCTGAAGAAGAAATGGCATAGAGCAGTACTCCAGACCTGATTATCTACTTTTCTTTGGAACTTCTTAGTTTTTCTTGCCAGTAGTATGAGGCAATGAGACAATGTTTAACAATTTTCTCCTAAGTTCCACTTCTGTGGCCTTAGTTCTGGACACCCAGGTGCAGTAATTTGCAGCTCTTTTCAAATGTTGCCATGATTCTACCTAGCAGCAGGAAAAAAAAACTTTCCAAATTTTATTTATTTCATAAGTTGGCTTTTTGTATGGCTGAAGAATCTTTTCTTATGCTGCATTCTTGTAGGATTTTAGTTAATATATTGGAAATACAGATTTAAACATGTATTTGAAATGTATAAAAGTGTCTAATATGCATTATATTTAAAATATGCATATAACCCAAACCACACATTCAGTGTTGCTGTTAAAGGATACTTTTATCACTAAATTTCAAATGAGTTTTTCCTGTTTGTCTGAAGATGTTGTTTGCTGTGTTTTGTGTTTTCAGAGACTGAAATAAAATCTTTATATCTTACTTATTCTGAAATGAAACATGAGCATGGTTCTCCTGAGGAGTGCACTAGCTGGGAAATATTGGAAGCTTTTTCATTCAAAAAAAAGTTAGACCTTTTCTTAAGGTGTATGGAAGAATGTTCTCATTACTCTGAAACTTACTGCTTCTCAAACAAAATATCAGAAGTATGGATGCTAAATATGAGCAAAAGCAGGGAGCACAGTGCCTGTAGAAAAGCAGGCTGCATTACTTTCTGAGTCTTGCCTGAGAAAGTGGCCTGGGAAATCATAATGAGGAAATTAAAACAACCCTCAGAGATAGATGACAGCCTTCTTGTTTTGTCAGTTTCTTGTTTTCTTGCAAGAGAAGGTCGAGGGGTGGTGTACACCACTGACCAATGATGGTGATGTGTTACTTTACTGACCAGTCAGAGTTTTACATTTCTGGACTTTAGCGTATCGGTCTATAAAAGAAGATCTGAAGTAACAAACCTCACTCTCCTGTTCAACTCATAAGAGAGTCCATGTTGTGCTTCTTGCATTCCCAATAGTGTGACGCAGAAGCAATGGAAATACCATGAAATCGGTTATCAGCTGCAAGTGTGATGTTGTTTCCTTTTCCTTACATTTTTCATGCTTTCCCACTTTCCCGTTCCTTTATGAGGCCTTTTTTTCCATGTGACATTTTAATTACACAGCAATAATGAAAATTAAGAAAGTAACTATTGCAACAGAAGTTAGATGTTGATATTTTCATATATGGGTGTGGTCTTGCTTAAATTTACTTCAGTAGAAAAATGCCATATATTTGTTTGAATATTTGGTTTCAGAATAGAATATACTTCATGTTTATGCAGCTATGTAAATTGAACATCAAGAGACTGTCTTCCAGAGGTTTCACATTTATCTAGGGCACTACCAGGTACATATGATTTATTACTGCAAGATTTCATAAGGTAGTGCTATGCCATGTTTTAATATTTAATCTGAGATGTGGAGGGCATTACCTGTCATACTGAGCAACAGTCTGCCATTGTTTCCTTGAGTCCTATCTATTGTCTGTGAATTCGTTTTCATTATATTATAAATATTGTCAGGCAAGGACTTCCCTAAGTGTCTGAGTGGTTGTGACAGTCACAGTGATGATGGCAGGTACTAGCAATAGGAAAAAAGTTTGTTCTTCAGGTTTCTTGCAAAGACATATTTTATTTCCACCAAACACAACAAAACTTTTAAGTGCCATCCCAACTGTGTACTTCAGCTGTGAGACACAATCAGAAAATATATAGTTAATGTAGGAGTTGTTATTTTAATGCATAATGCTTTCCTTGTGGTACAAACAGAAAGAAGTTTAAATTACAGATATTATTTGTGACATGAATTATTAAACAGTGTCTGAGAGGTTTAAAATACATCTCAAGGTCATACATGAAATTTTGTGACGGTTTTCATCCTGAGGTGTGTTTCATGTTGACAGCTATGGAGTAAGATCTTCAAAGAAATTTAGATCTTATATAAAAGTTTTAGAGTCTCAAGTTGTTGACTACATGTTCTCATGCCATTAAAATATTTTTAATCTTAATCTCTTTCAGTCCCAGCAAAGATGCATTGTGATCTTTGCTCTGGTGTGCTGCTTTGCAATTCTGGTTGCACTGATATTTTCGGCAGTGGATATTATGGGAGAAGATGAGGATGGACTCTCAGAAAAGAACTGTCAAAATAACTGTCGGTAAGAGGTAACAAACAAAACTTCTCTTTTGGGGTGGAAAGGAACATATGTGTGTTATATAAGGGCATGAAGTAATTGCCATGGTCCTGTGGTTTTATTGGGAAGAGCAGCTAACAGAGGAAGAAACTGTTTCTCATTTTGAATTTCTGGCTTCAGAGGTTAGTTTAACAAAGTAAAGCACACTTTTTGAAGTTAATTTTGAGCAAGACCCTTGTGTTAGATCAGTTATTTTGTAAGCCTGAAACAAAGCCCATTAAGTTTCAGTAACTGAGCATTGAGTTCACATAGTTCCTAATTCTTTCATGTCTTTCTCTCATTAAGAGTACTTCTTTGTTTCTTCAGAAAGGTCACTGATGCCTTTTGACCTAAAATTGCTGTCCATTCTGTGTAGGGGGAGCTTTTCTATTTCACGTTTGATGCATTCCTCTTATAGACACAGTGGCTTACCTATGAACTGTGAAGGAAATTAGTGGTATGATCAGAAAGATGAGTGTTGACAGTGTTGAATTAAGCTTTGCTACAGACACCTGCCATCGTTGTGTATATTTTTTAACTTTTGGTTCTGTTAGTTTTAAGTAGGTGATTAGTTTTTTGGGCCTTTCATTTCCAGACTATGAATCTCATTTTGCTACTCCTCATTGTCATTTTCTTCCATGAATCTGTTCATTGATGATGAGCAATGCTCATCATATTGTCCTATTTGTCATATTGTCCCAGGTCCTCTTCTTCCACCAAGCTGATCTAAAAATAATTTGTAGACTTCATTCCCAGTTGTATTCTGTTTGGGTTTTTTCCCCAAAAAAGACTTAAACTTTTTACAGAGCACCCTCTCTGATCCACTTTATAAAAAAAAAAAAAAAAAGTCATTGTTAAATAACTTCTCAGAAATCTATTCTAATCTGATCATGGAATTGCTGGAGTAGGAGGGGCCTCTGGGCATCCTCCAGTCCATGACCCCATTCATAACAGAGCCAGCTACAGCAGGTTGCTCAGGCATGTGCACGGCCATGCTCTGTGTAGCTCCAAGGATGGACTCCACAGCCTTTCTGCAAAGCCTGTTCCCCTGTTTGTGCAGAACCTACCAAGCTACCAGTGTCTGGGTAGGAGGTAATTGACATTTGCATTTTAGAATAATTTAATGAAAGATTAATGTTTCTTTGAGCCTTTGATCCTTATTTCTGCTATTCTTTGTACATTTAGTGGGAAAACTCTTTTGGGACAGTGCCTTTTTATGCTGCACCTGTCACACTGCAGACAGCACTAATTCAGAATCTGGAAAAATTTATGATGTTTTTTCAGTTGTAATGGGCTTTTATAATATTTTTTGCATGGTGCTTAAGAAAAAAAACCAAAACCAAAACGGAGAGGATTCTTAAAATTTGTATCTCTTTTCAAGTGGAATATACTTGCAGCATCAGGTAGCTTTATACTGAAACCAACTGTCCTTCTGGCACTTTTTCCAGAATTGTTTCTAGATTTGCTTTTATTCATTTCATTGTATACTTACAGGTCTGGGCAGCCTTCTGGTATCTTCTCTGAATTTTCTAGAGTTCAGCCAGCTTTCCTTTCTCCATCAAGGTCTTAAGTGTCTTTCACTGTGAGATGTTGTCTTCCAAAATTTTTGAAGATACTGTATGTGTTACCTCTACACCCACTGTCTCCATGTGTGAATCTTTGACAGAACTAGGTCAGATGAGGGGAAGGTCTTTTTGTTCATTGGCTTCAGTATGCACACAACTTCAGCACACTCAGAAATTACTGCACCATGTATCTTAGTTGTATCAACTAATGGTTCCCATTTTGTTCTGGGTAGCTGTGTAGGCCTAGCCAGGGAAGGACTTCATGTTCTTTACTTTTTATTCTTCAAAGGGAAAAAAAAATCAGAGTTGAATAGATACACAGTACTAAGAAAAACAGGGATATTATTTTTTTCCATGTGAGAAATTGATTTCTTCTGTCTCTGTGTATGGGTTACAGCAATCTGCCTTTCCAAAGACTACTTACCTTTGCTCAGTGTTTTGTTGGTTCACATGTGTCAGTTTTGTCCCCTCCTGGATTGTCTTAGAGGAGCCTGAGACTAAATTCAGCACCTTGACTTTAAACTTAAGAGTCAGTTAAACTGCTCTGTGTTTATATGGATGAAAGTGAACCCAGACCCCAGCTCAATTTTAAGTTGCCTTTCACACAGTGATTCAAATGCATGATCTAGCTACTAATGCCTGAACTAGAAGGCACATAAATGCTGTGCATATGGACTGTCTAAACCATTTCTAATAACAGTATCCAAGTGCTGGCAGCTGCTGCCTTCTAAGTCCTTCTCTACATGATGAAACTGGGGTCCTTTATGTGTTAAATGCATCACAGAGTTAACTGAAGTGTCACAAATCAATTGCTGCCAATGGCATATATTTAGTGCTTTGGCTAAGCACTTTTAATAAGTAAGACAAGAGTTACCGAATTCTTAAATTTCTGCTGTGTGATTACTTTCCCTGACATTCAGGAAGAGGTGCTTACATTTGCAGGTTGTGCAAGACAGAATGGTAGTAGATGATCTCTTTTTTTTTTTTTTTTAAATGAAGTGTTTGTCAAATATAAGTTTCTATGTATGAGCCTATAATTCTTTTTTTGGTTTTAACTGATGAAGTTTGTGAAGAATGTTGGTGGGAAGGGATGCTGTTGATTTGAGAAGAACTTTGCTGATGGTTTGTTAATGGCTGGGTTTTTTTTGGAAAAATTCATTTTTTTGTTTTTGTTTTAAAGAAAAATTCTCCTGACATAGAACTGTAGTCTAGAAAAGTTCTCTGGCTAGAAAGTTTTGGAGCTTGTGTGAAAAAATAAAATTTTTACAAGAGAGAAAGAGAACATAAGAGGAAGACTTTTTAGAATCTAGAACTTTTCCAAGTGATGTTTTCCACTTACATTTCTCTTTCTTTTTGTGATTGGATTATTCAGGAACATAAATGCAGCTTTTCTATCTGCTTGTTGTAATTCAACATGTGGTTCCTCTTCTATAAACCAATCCTTAAACTCTTATTACATGGGGAATACTTACTGCATATTCCCAAAATGACCTTACTCTTTATTGATGTATTTCTTTCTCTTGAGGGCTTTGTAATAAAAATAAGTCTGGGAGTGGGAAATCAGGCTTTTTTGCATATCTCCTCTGATTGCTGCAGGGATTGATGCTACCCATCCTATTAAAAAGAATGTCAACTGATTGAAATTAAAGGAATAAAAAAAAGTAGCAGTGACTGTGAAAAGTTGAGGCTTTGCAGTTTGTGCTCAGTATGTGATGGAAATAATTCTCTTGAGATGTCCACAGTAATGTTGTTAGGCAGCCCGGATGGATGAGACTGGTAAAGAGGATATACTTAGCAGTCTGGGAATTTTGCCTGTCTTGCTGTGGGTCCATTAGATGGTGAATCTATAAAATTAGATTATTGTAATTTGAAAATAGTACATTTTAATGGCTGATCTATTGTGAATAAATCTTGGCTAGCCTCTGATGTAATGTCAGTTAAGACTTTGTTGGAATTGACTGATAAACACTAAACATGGCAATTTTGGAAACAGAAGAAATTGCATCTATTAAGAGATTGTCTCTGCTATCCAAACTATTTCAACCAAGGCTGTTTTGATTTATTAATGGTAACTTGAGCTGTTCAAGGCTCAACTTGAGATTCTTCTCCTGCTTGTTGGTGCTGATAGCCATGCTAGGGATCCTACAGAGTTTACACATGCTCTTAGCTATCCTTGTCTCACTGGCTTTTCCAATATCTGTTGAAGCAGTGGCAGCAGCTGGCATAGGTCCTACCTCTGGCTGTGGGTTTGGCCCTATCCCTTGAACTACAGAACAAGGTGGAAAAAAAGGGAAGTAATGGTAGCTACTTTCCATGCTTACCGAGCTAAAACTAAAACTGTTGTAATGGGTTTTTTTGGTTTTTTGGGGTTTTTTTTAAATATTGCCTTTCTCTGATGATAATTGGAAGAATTTTCCTGGTTTCTGTTTGTGTTTTCAAGGCAGATTCTGTCTTGCATTCTGTTCCAGTGATGCTGTTTTGATCATTTCTCTTCTCCTTAGAGTCATATATAATGAAGGCACTTTTATGTTCTTTTATGTTTGAATTTATGTTGGAAGAATTTGCTTTTGTTAATGACAGGAGTGGAAAAGCCTATTTAGTTCACTTCTTGACTGTAGGGAGGCTTTGACCAATGCTGTCCTATAATAGGTAGGTGATGAGACCTGAGCAGTGTTTGTGATTTCTTCAGGTACTGTTTGGATAATGGTTGGTATCCTGGAGAGGCTCAATCTTCTTGTTGATGTGCAAAGCTTTAGAATTTAACAGTACCCTGCAATGCTGAATTTCAGAGGTTAAATCTAGTTGTATACAATAATTATATTGAACAATTACTGTGTGTTGCATGCACTGCTTTCAATTTCATTAGATTATTCTCTGGTTGTGAAAGGGGACACTCAATTGATTTTTTTCTGCTGCTTTATGAATCTTTTCTTTCGACTACTCTGCTATTTCACTAAGTAGGGTTTTGCAGCACTATTAAATAAGCATACTGCAGCACATGCTTACATTCATTTACCTTGGAAGTGCTTTGCCCCTGGCTTATTGTGGAGGAGATTTTCTCTGTGCTGCGTGGGTTCTGAACATAGCAAGGTTTATATTGACTGGTTTCTATTTAATAAACAAACTATGACAAGCATAATAGTTAAATGTCTAAACAGAAAAAGATGCTCATATTTTGAAAACAAGCCTGTTAAAGAGCAACTGAAGATTTCTGTTTACAAAACAACTATTCCACTTGGCATAAAAATGCTTTCTGTCAACATGATGGACTAGAGGATCAAGTCTACCCTCAGTCAGTTTGCAGACAGCACCAATTTGAGCAGAAGTGTTGATTTCTGGAGGATAGGAAGGCTCTGCAGAGCAATCTGGAGAGGCTGGATCAATGGGCCAAGGCCAAAGGTATGATGTTCACAAAGTGAT